TGCGTTCAGTTTCTGACATGCTATCCTGGACTTCCTCAAGAACATTTCGACTTTCCGCCACAACGGCCTGGCATGTTTTATACAACAAAACTATAAGTGCTCCCAGAATGATAACCAAGGCCTCAAAGCTACCTTTCCAAAGCGGAAACAGGTTCAAGCCAAAGTCCAGAAAAAACATACCTCTCTGAACGTCCTTACCTGCAGTTCTGAATCCTCCTTGAACTCAAGGGGTCTCCGATGGTGCTGACGATGGTTTGGTCGAATTCCTGGGTCTCAGCACCAGTTGTCCTGCGCTATCGTCTCGCCAGCAAGAACGACGCGGCACACTCAGGATCCTTCTGCAGAAAAGCTTTAATGCATCTTGAGAGGTAGAGCATAAGCTTACAGGGCGAAGACCCCGAATGTCGGAAACCCAGCCCTTATATAGGTTAGTAAGCCCGTCTTGGACGTGGCAACTCTTGATTGGTCGCAAACTCATCAGCCCATATCACGCCACGAGGTAGGCAGAGACTAGAAGGTGGAAAATTACTTCGGGCATGCGTACTGACTTATTTACTGCTCAGCATGAATCGGATATGAGCGCCATCTTGTAATGGCGTCTACAGGGACGGCAGGCAGCTCCCCACAACCTCCTCAAGGATAGGGGAATTTATGTGATAAAGAAATAGGGTGGCCCAAGGAGGGTGATCAGAGGTAGGGAAAAGTGAAGTAAGCACATCATTGTGCTTTTCACAATAAGCATCATTGGCTTTTCACAGGATCCATGTTCAGAAAATGGCAGTGTTAGCTATTTGTGTTGAAATAATCAGGGAAGTCACAGCAGCAGAAGCCTGAAGCAGCTGGTCATATTACATCATTCAGGAGGTACCATACTTCCGTCATATCCCAGAGTGTTTTTGCCCTTCATTTCAATGGTATATAGAACCCCTCAGTGACAGCTAAAATATTGCTTGTTGCCCTCATAGTATTTGTTTCCATATTTGTCTTCCTGTGGTAATGTACCAACTTTTTTTAATTAAAAATATTTTTTTCTTTTGTATTTTTTTCTTTTGTATTTCATACAGAACATCTCAATCTTAATCATCTTTATACCTCTATCCCCACTGGCATCCTCCCATAACCTCTTCCTCCCCCACCCCACTGGAGCCTATATACTCTGTCATCACTGTTACTGCCAACTTTTATGTCATTTGCCCTGATGAAAATCCATAAAAAGCCTCTCAGGTTGCTATGGCAGGTGACCTGCTTCAGCCTCAGCTTCAGGACCCACACCAACACCATTTTCTCCTTGCCCATTCCCATCTTATAGCCACAGTGGAAGCTAAGCATCAGTGACCTTGGATGTGACAAGGAAAAAGATCAAAATGGCATGGCACCCTGTGGAAGTCCCAAGACAACTTATGGGAGCCGGTTCTGTTCTTCCACCATGTGGGTCCCAGGAATCAGACTCAGGTCATTAGGCTTGGTGGCAAGTGGCTTTACCTGCTGAGTCATGTCACCAACCCAGAATCCATTTTGAGAGATTACTGGAATCTCTTTTCCCAGATTGCAATCCTAATTAACCCCCAGTAAATAGTTTTCTTTTGTCTTAATTGTGTTAATGTTACTCTTGGTGAATGAGTGGGGTTATAGTCTAGGATCTACCTGAGTTCTTCTAGGAACATTTGGCCTGACCTTTAGGCTCTTTTTTGTACCATGGCTGAAACCATAGCTGAGGAGTGGGGCCCACTGGTCTGTTCTATGCCAGCCAGGCCAGGGCTAGGCCTGGCTCAAGCTGACCACCTTCTATGTCATCTCTCTCCAGGGCTAGCCCTGGCTCAAGCTTCTTTCTATGTCATCTCTCTCCAGGGTAGCCCTAGGCAGGACTGACTCTCACCTAGCTACCTTTCCACCAGCAGAAGCTTAGGAAGACTCTGGAACTTTCCATACTCAATTGGGCCTAGGAAGATCAGGGATTATACTGGCCCCCTGCCCTGCTTAGGCTCTTCCTCAACCATTTGTAACAAACACTGTGGCTGCCACCATGTGGGACATGGTGCTTCTTTGGGGACATGGCTTTTCCCAGGGTGTACCTGGGATGCCAGCTCTAAGTACACCTTTAGGGGATTTGTTCAAATTAATTTGTGCACAATGCCCCCTCGGGGTCTGGGTTTGGAGCAGGTACCTAGTCATTTGCATATCTGCCTAGTTGTCCTTCTTCCTGCTCTCCCCCTGAAGTATGAGGTCTCTTTCTTTTCAGCTGCTGGTAGGTGGGCAACCCCTTGGGAACATCCTTCACTGGACTAACAGCTCAAAGCAATGCTTAGGCTATGTAAGAGGATGAGGATGCTTTTGGGACATGGAAAACTCTTTCTTTTCCTCATAATGTTCAGCCTTTCAGCCTGTTTCTGGCTCTGAGACTCCAGGCAGAAGGATGCCTTTCTTTCCTTCCCAGCTTTAACAATGGGTACCACTGACCAAAGATGGAAATATAAATAGGAAGTGGCCCAAAGCACCGGAAGCACATCTGCTTATTTATTTTAAATCCTTTGACAAAGGGGAGAAAGGAATCATCTGCAGCTGTTGCTGAGGAGTGTGACAAGAGGCCTGGGTTTGGCCCTCTTCACATATCTCTACCTCAGGTTGGTTGCTGCCATCCTGTGCAATGCTTAGAAGGTGGGAAGAGTCTTCATGCTGGGGGAGGACCTCAGCACTACTTTCTGTTAGGGTTCGGATCCACAGCAGCTCCCTCTCCACTGTAACAGGACTCTGTAGGCCCTCTGAAAATACAGGAACTGAGTTAATGAGCACTCTAACCACCTGCAGACAAGATAAATAGACTCTCTGCACCTTTGACTGGAGACCCAATTGCTACTAGAGCTGTTTTAGCACAGCCTGCTTCCCCTTTGATAATCTTAGAAGATAAACAGAACCCTTATCCCATGACCCAGATCCTGGCTGACAGAAGGGGATGGAAGGGGCTGGTTTGAAGGAGGCTGTTCTTTCCTGATAACCCTTGGACTTTCTTCCCTGATTAACTTGTCAAGGAATGTTTTCCCGCCTTCTGCATCCCCCCAAAACCCCCTATAAAAGCCACCAGCCAACAGCCTATAAACTGACAGCTCCTCTATCCTGAACTAGGATTGTCCCACGGGGTTTCCCTGTTAATAAACTCTGTCCTTAAGGAGTTCTTGTCCATGTCCTGGTGCTTTCTCCCGATTTGGACCCTGATTTTTTTTTTTTTTTGGTCTTTTTAAAACAGGGTCTCCCTGTAGCCCCAGATGTCCTAGAACTCACTATGTAGACCAGGCTGGCCTTGAACTCACAGAAATCTGCCTGCCTCTGCCTCCCGAGTGCTGGGATTAAAGGCATGTGCCACCACACCTGGCTATTGGACCCCGATTTTTACCTATCACTTTCTAGGTGTAAAGTAGTTTGGCTGGACTTTGGGACTTGCAAATGGCATGTGTATCCTAGGTCCCTCCTAAATGAGAGCACGCAGGTGATTGCTTCCCAGACTCTCTGTGGGGGCTGTTGGTTTACTGGGTGTTTACAGGAAAGCAGTTACACTTCAGCTGAGTCAGTTCTGGGTGGGAAGAGGAAGGCAGAATTCCATGTAAGCACCTGTCAACAGAACAGGTATCTGAAGTTGGATGGGGGCTTCCGTTGGCTTCTGCCACTGAACTTTAAGGAAAGATTCATTTCTATTGAGATCAACTTTCCTACAGAAAGCTCATGCTTAAAACAGTTCAGTTTTTAAAAAATTATTTATTTTTGTGTTTTGATTGCCTGTGTGTATGCTGGTGTGTATATAGTAACCGTGAAGTCAGAAAGAGGGCAACAGAGACCCATATGGGTGCTTGGAATTGAACCTGGGTCCTCTGGAAAAACAGCAAGTATTCTTAACGCCTGAGCCACCTCTCCAGTCCCCAGTTTTTTTCCAATGTGTATGTGAGTTTTGCTTGCACGTATGTCTGTGCACCTTGTGTGTACAGTGCCCACAGAGGCCAGAAGAGGGTATCAGATCCCTGGAAATGGAGTTACAGATGGTTGTTACCCACCATGTGGGTGCTGGGAACCAAACCCTGGTCCTCTGCAAGAGCAGCCAGTGCTCTTAACTGCCTCTTAACTGATGAGTCATCTCTTCAGCCCTCTTAACAAAGTTGTTTTAACTGGGCATGGTGGTACATGCTTTTAAGCCCAGTACTTAGAAGGTAGAGACAGATGAATCTCTGCAAGAGCAAGGGTAGCCTGATCTACAAAGCAAGTTCCAAACCAGTTGGGGCTACAGGCCAAGTTACAGCTGAGACTGTCTAAAAAAATTCTATTAAATGAAGAGCTAGATTACAAGAATAGCAAATAGGCTCAATTTAAATCATAAACCCCCAAATCTAAGATGTGTGGAAAGTTTATGAAAAGGAGAGGAAAAGATTAGTATGCATCCAGCATAGTGGCTCACCCTATATCCCAGCACTTGGGAGGCTGAAGTGGGAGGATTACCTTGAGTTTGAAGCTAGCCTGGACTACAACAGTGGATTCAAGTCCTACTTGGGCTAGAGTGAGACCCTAACTCACCTCCCCCACCTCAACAAAAGATCAGTAGGGCAGCATGGAAGTGGAAAGAGGTAGGAGATGGAGAAGGTTAGGTGGGGTGAGCAAGGATCTGAGGGAGGCTGGTCCAGGCACATGGGAAGCTCTTGAGACATTCCTGTTTCATAACTCAAAGCTCACATGTGTACTGCGCTCCTTCCAAACCAAGTTAATGGCAGAGGAATGTTTGCTGGAAGCTTTTCCATGGCTCTTTTCTGTGAAATTCTAGACGCTCTGGTGTGGATTAGATATCTCCCCAGTATTTCGAATCCAGAAGTGTAGCACCCCAGATTCTAAAACACTGAATGCTTCCTGAGCTGAGAATCACAGACTGTGTACCAGACACATACTCCCAGAGGTGGGGACCAGGCCTGTTTCACTGCCCATGCTCTCTATATGGCACATGGAAGACACTTAGTATTTGACAAGAGAGTGGGTGGTTTGGCTGGGTGGAAACCTGCCCCTTGCTTCAGAAAGGACTCACCCTTTCCACTAGCCTCAAAGTGAAGGAGGGACCAAATGATCACTTCTGGTTTTTTTTTCTGAAAAGTTCTACACAGGAAAGTCACTTGTCAATAGCATGAATAATCACTTCCGCATGAGGCAAGCACACACACCTGTCTCTGCCTTGATCTTCACATGGCAATTAGTGCTGCGTGTGTCATCCCTGCCTCACTCCATACATCGTGCCACCAGTCCTACCACTTGCTTTGGGGATTTTACTTGTAATTGAAACTGAGTGGGGTGTTAGTCCCCTCTCCTTCTCCCTACCAGCTGTTCCCTCTTCTATATGACGCTGTCATTGAGTGCTACTCTAAGGTACAGGGAGGGAAGTAAATGAACCTTACTTTCCTAGAGTTAAAATTAGTAGAGAAGAGCTGACCCCTAAAGGAAAAGCTCAGAATTAGATCTCCTTCAGGCAAAACTGAAGGCAGGGGCTGCTGCTTCTTGCTTGCTGTATTTCCAGAGAGATATTATATCGCAGACAGTGGATAAGAACACTGTAATGGTGACTCGTGGGAAATTCTTCAGTTCCTGACTCAGTTTTCTCATTTACAAAATCAAGGTAATGGGGACTGGAGAGATGACTCAGTGGTTAAGAGCACTGGCTGCTCTTGCAAAGGGCCCAAGTTCAGTTTCTAGCACCCACATGGCAGTTAAAAACAGTCCGTAACTCCAGTTCCAGGGAATCTGACACCCCCTTCTGGCCTCCATAGACACTGTATGCATGTGGTACACTTATATACAAGCAGGCAGAACACTCATATATGTATATATAAAATAAAAATAAAATAAATAAAAAAACAAGATAAATGAAGTTATCTTCCCTATAGGGTTGGGGGATGAAGATTTCTTTCTGTAAAGTGCTTTAAACAGTGTGATACAAAGACTGTTCTATGGAGCTTGAAGTTCATGTAAGTTGATACAAAGTTAGGTATGAATGTGAATACTTATTTAGAATAATAAAACATATTACACAAAAATACAAATTTTAACTGGGCATGGTGATGCACATCTATCATCATCTTAGCACTCAGGTGCCTGGGGCAGGGAGGGAAAACAGCAAAACCCTGTAAAAAAAATTTAAGACTGAAAAATGTCAAAACGTCACAAAACTTTTTTTGGTTTGACTTTGTTTGTTTGTTTGTTTGTTTGTTTGAGACAGGGTCTTCCTCCTGTAGCCCCAGCTGACCTGGAACTCACTATGTGGACTAGGCTGTCTTCAATCTCACAGAGGTCCTCCTGCCTCTGCTTCTTGAGCGCTGGGATTAAGGGTATCCACACCTGGCTTTGGAAAACTTGTTTTAAAGATCTTGATAATATTTTTTAACTGCCATGAGCACTCCATACATTTCCCCACACAGTTTTGTTGCATATGCTTTGACTGCTTCACTCCACACCGTCCTTTGTGCAAATAGATAGCAATCTTTCCCCTAGTTTAGTTGACTAAAATTTTAAAGACTGATTGATAGCTATATTATTATTATTATTTTTTTATTATTATTATTATTTTGAAAAGACAGAACCTATGTAGCCCAGGCTGGATTTGAAGTAGTGGCAATCTTCCTGCCTCAGCTCACTGAGTGCTGAGATTATAGATGTGCAACACCACACCCAACTTATATTCTATTCCTTGGAATTCCCATCAAATAAAGGAAAATATGCAATCGGAACAGGATTGAAAGCACCATAGAGCCGGGTGTGGTGTCTCACTCCAGTGCTGGGGAGGAGGAAGCAGAAGGATCAGGATGATCAAAGTCAGCTTCATAGGAGGTTGGAGGCCAGCCTGGGTAGCATGACACCCTATCTCAAAATACAGCCCTCCCCCCAAAAAAAGCCAAAAAAGAACCTTTTTCAGGAGAGAACTTCAGGTGTCAATAAAAACTAAATCTTTGATTTATACTTTTATGCTCTGATTAGAGGGTTTCCACAGACCACTTTCTGGCTCTATGTATTTCAGACCTTTTTCTTCTCCTCTACCCAAGTCTTCTGGCACCAAAGACACATCTGCAACTCAGTAAAACCTCTGGCCTTGTCTCTGCATCACAATGCCAGATGAGTTGGCACAGTGGGGGATAGGCATATATGTAAAAACTATCCCTTCTTCACGAGTAGCAATCACTTCACTATATTCACTATATGTGAAACTGACTGCCAGCCATGTAAATACATCCCACAAAACGAGTCAGGTGCATCTAACTACAATCCCCCTCACAGACCCTTATCACTAACAGAGGAATGGGAAGACAGTGATGTTCATCAGTTGTGGATAAAATAGCTTACTCTGACAAATTTTATAAACATACATGATCACAAGAATGTATTGCTCAGGCCTTGGGAAGGGCATGCTAGAGGACAAGCTTAAAAGACATCAGCATCCCAGCAGACCCACCTCCACCCAGCCCAGCACATAGTAAAGTAAGCACTGTGGAACTGTGCAGTGTTATTCTTGGCTCTTTTCCTGACAGGTTTTGAAACCTCTTGTGGTGGCTGCTAAGTTCCTCAGCCCCAGCTTCATTTCCTCCCTGGTTCTGGTCCAGCAGGAAAAGCAAAGTGTCTCTTCTAGAACAAATTCCAAGAATTTGTTTTGATTGCACCAGCTTGTGTTACAAGCTCAATGATCCAAGCACCAAGGTCAGGGCAAATCCATGAGCTATCCAGCCTTGGGCTACATGATACATTCTTGAAGCTGGAGGTGGGGTGGACTATAGGGGAAGGACTAGTATCTCAGAGGAAATTGGGAAATTCTAGGAGTTGTGAATGCTGAATGAAAAAAAAAATAGGTGATCATTTACTATGCATTTGCATAGAGCAAACTTCCAGAAGACAATGTGAGGGAAGGAAGCCCAGCAAGGAAGAAGCATGATAGAATGGGGAAAACAGGTACCCAAGACCTTGGCAGCTGGACTTAGGTCTGCTCTGCATGTCCCTCCCTTGAGGAACCCCTGAGGTTTAAATGAAGACATGTGGTCTTAGCTCAGCCCAGCTGTGCCAGCCAGTCCTGGTCCAGACCCGCCACCTCCAGATCTGTGTGTTGTCTGTCTTCTTTATCCTGGGCCTTCTGTGCTGATGCCCAGTCATAGGCCCCTATTCACAGCTGCAAAGGGTCTATGGGGGACTGATCTTTAGCTCTTTATGTCTAAGGCCAGCAACTTGCATCTCAGCCAAGTCAATCCCTAAGCCTTGTGGGTAATTCCTGGGAAATGGTCATGGGAAAGTCCTAAATCCTAAATATTTTCTCTCACACAGCCTGTAGCCCTGCTGGGAGTCCTGAGGCAGATGCACTGATTTTCAGTCTTCTTGCAACTGTAAAGTCCCCTTGCCCCCTGTTTCTCTTTTTTTCTTTTTGAGACAAGGTCTCGCTAGGTAGTCCTGGCTGGCCTGGAATTCACTATGTAGACCAGACTGGCCTGGAACTCAAGGCCATCCTCTGCCTCTGCCTTCTGAGTGCCACCATATACAGCTCACATTTCTATTTGATATTACATATAGTTCATGCAAGTTAGAAGTAGCTCTTATTCAATCACTTTTCACTTATTCATAGACCATTCTCAATTTTCTGTTTTGGTTGATTCTGGAAGAATACATTTTAGATAGGTCTTTAAAGAAGATTTTCTTTATTTTTATTTTATGTGTATGAATGTTTTGCCTACCATGTGTGCCTTGTATTTGTAGAGCCAGAAAAGGGCATTGGATCCCCTGGACCTGGAGTTAAGGACAGTTATTAGCAGCTATATGAGTGCTAGGAACTGAATAGCTAGTGCTCTTAACTGTGGAACCATCTTACCACACTTTTAGATTGATTTTTTTTTTTTTGGTCATTTTGAGACAGAATCTTCTTCTAGCCCCATCTGGCCTGGAACTTGCTGTAGATCAGACTGGCTTCAATCCTTCAATTTCACAGAGATCTGCCTGTCTCTGCCTCTCTGCCTTCAATTCATTTGATTTTTTAAAATTATTGTTATTTTATGCGTATGAGTGTATTGCTTGCATGTGTGTAAGTATACCCATGTCATGCAATGCCAGTGGAGGTCAGAAGGGGTGTCAGATCCCCTGAAACAGGAGCTACGGATGGTTGCTAGCCACCATGCGGGTGCTGGGAATTGAACCCGGGTCCTCTGAAAGAGCAGTCAATGCTCTTAACCACTGATCCCATTATTTGATTTTTTTACATTTATTTATTTGTGTGTGTATGTATATGTGTGTGGGTACATGCCACAGCTTGTATGTGGAGGTCAGAGGACAGCCTGCAGGAGAAGTCAGTTCTCTCTTTCCACCATGTGAGTTCCAGAGATCAAACTAAGTCATCAGTCTTGGTGGCAAACACCTTTACCTGCTAAGTCATATCACTGGCCCATTATTCTTTAATTCATGATGAACTGACACTCATGCTATTTGGGGAGAGCATTTGGTGTTATGTGCATTCTAACCAAAGATTCTTCTATAGTGTTCATGATCTGTGATCTTTGATTATGAAATCTTCCCTTTGGTTCTAGTAGAAACTCCCTGAACCTGAACTGGGGAGATGGCTCAGTGGATAAAGCACCGTGACGCAACTGTGAGGACTGGAGTTCAAATCCCCAACACCCACATGAAAAATGTATTCAGTGAGAGACCTTGCCTCAATGAATAAAATGGAGAGCAATTAAAGAAGACACCTGACCTCAACCTCTGGCCTTCACATGCACACTCACAAACACACACACACACACACACACACACGCAACCTGTACATGTGTCCACATACATGGACACTACCCACACAGAAAGCAAGCCCCTGAACATGTAGGCTCTGCTGAAGCAGGAGTGAGAAAGGAGTTGGGGTAAGGCACCCACACCCCATCTTGATTTCTGTTCTAGTTACTTTCTATTGCTGTGCTTAAACACTGACCAAAAGAAACTTGGGGAAGAAAGGGTTTATTTCACCTTACAGCTTTAAGTTCATAATGGAAGGGACCCAGGACAGGAGCTCAGGACAGGACCTGGAGGCAAAAATTGTAGCACTTACTGGCTTGTTCTCCTGGCCTGTGATCAGCCTGCTTTCTTTCTTTCTTTTTTTTTTTTTCCCCCAACCTGCTCTCTTATACAAGCCAGGATCTTGTACCCAGGGATGACACCACCTACAGTGGGCTGGGCTGGGTCCTCCCACATCGTTCAATAATCAATAAAATGCCTCACAGACATGGTCACAGGCCAATCCCATAGAAAAAATTCCTCAATTGAGGTTCCTTCTTGCCAGGGGTGTCAGGTTGATAACTAATATCCATGACAATTGCTCTTCATTTTAGGGCCTGGACTCCTGGTTTCATGAGACACCCAGGGTCTGGTTCTTGTCTGGGTTCAGAAGCTCAGTCCTCTTCCCCAGGGCTGGCCTGCTCAGGTGGGGTGAATCTGCATGGGGTTTCCTCAGCAGTGCCCTCTGCCTGTCCTCTGCCCTCAGCCTCAGGGGGTGTCTTAGTTTGTTTCTCCATTGCTGTGACAAAGCACTCTGACCAATACCAACTTGGGGAGGAAAGGGTTTATTCAGCTTACAACTCCCAGGTCGCAGTTCATCAGGGAGCCCAAGTTAGGAACTCAGGGCAGGAACCTGGAGGCAGGACCTGGAACACAGGCCATGGAGGAACGCTGCTTACTGGCTTGCTCCCCGGGCCCCTGCTCAGCTTGCTTTCTTATGCAACACAGGCCCACCTGTCCAGGGGTGGCACTACTCATAGTGGGCTGGGCCCTCTCACATCACTCAACAATCAAGAAAATGCCCCATAGACATGGCCACAGGCCAATCCAATGGAGGAAATTCCCCAATTGAGGCTCCCTCAACCCAGGTGTGTTGACACTAAAGCTATCCAGCACAGGGGGCTTCTGGCCACAGGTCCTGGCTGTCCTTGGTGCATCTGTCCTGACACTTCGGCTCTGGAAAGGGTGCTCCACCTGTGGGGCCTGGTGTCCTGTCAGAGGTTTCTGGAGATGCTGGTTCAGCCAGCCTCTTGAGGGAGAGAAGGTATTGTGTGACAGTGACCTGGGGGTGGAGTTCCAGCCTGTTTATAGGACCTCTGGAGCTGGCAGAGATTCACAGCTAGCCCCATTCCATTGGGACAGTTACTGCCATCCAGCCAGGGAGTCCACATCTTGGCCCAGGGTTGGGCCTGGAGAGGAAATAGAAGGACTAATATGGAGAGCCTGTCACCTGAAGAACTACCTGGCCATCCTCATCAGGTAATAGTGTCTTCCAGTCCAGTGGAATCCTGCTGCAGCTTGAAAGGAGGGTGATGCTGATCTCTGTGTGGGCTGAGAAGAGGTAGAAGGGATGTGGGGTGGGTGGGAGGAGAGCAGTGTTCATAGAAGCAGGAGTCTTGGGGTCATGAGTTGGTCAGCAGAGCATCTACACTCCAGCATGAGCATGTACTCTCCCTCAGGGCTGCTCCCCTGCCCCACAGGGAGAATCATGGCTGTTCCTCACTGAGGAGGCCCACCAGACCCAGAGCCCAATGCCCATAGACCACTGGACTTCCTGAAACTGTCTTGAGCCACGTGTGTCTCTGTATCTCAGGGAGATCAAAACCCCTTTGCCAATTATTTTCTGGGTCTAAGAGCTCTGGGGCTGCATCCAGGACAAGGAACCCACAAACTGTTTACTCATCCCTTCAGCCCAGAGCTCTCATCTTGCTCCAGTGATCAAGGCCAACAGGAATTGCTCCTCTGATCACCCCTGGATGTCCAAGACAGTGGTCATGAGGGGCACTGCATATGCCATGGTCACTCTCATTTGCAGACCTTGATGGGCTTCTTCTCACAGGGGTCCTGAGTCCTAGCCTGAGCTGCATGGGGACAGGTGCCCTAGAGCATTGCTCTGGGAAAAGACTTGGTCACAGCAGACTGAATACCAAGGAATTCTGGGGGAGGTTGATAGGGAGCCCTTCATTGGATGACAATACCAGTTGCTGTTGCCCCAGTCTGAATTTGAAAGGACCCATCTCCAAGTCAGTCATTAGTGGGAATGTCCTGACTGGAGCCTGGGTTCTTGGGGTTATTGGATGGGACGGATACTCCTGGCTCCATCTCTCCCTCCTCTCAGGACCCCTAGATCCCAGCATGGTCAACTATGGAGATTTCCGAAATGCCCCAAGTTCCAGTGCCTTTCCCTGGGGAAATGTCACTCCCTTTTCCTTTCCTCCCCATGCCTACCCTGGGTCCAGACCCAGGAGTAAAATAAATGTCCAGGTTCATGGATTTGGGAGCCTGAATCTGCCCCACATTTGGGAAGCATCTTGCTCCCAACTGCTGTTTCCAGGCTTGGTCCCCAAAGTCTAGGTTCTGCACTCCTAGCCTGCAAGATGGTGCCTTTGGCAGGTGAGCAACACCAGCAGGTTCACCAGCTGCTTTCCTGTTGGACCAGGGGCTGGAACTCTCTCTGGTGGCAGGAGTTTGGTTGGCAGAGCTGGTTGGGCATCAGGAACTGGTTCTGTGTGATTCAACAGCTCAACCTGACTCAGGAAGGCATGGGCCCGGAAGTTCTGACCACAGCCTCATTCTCCCTGCTCCAACCTCCCCCAGGGCTTCACCATGCATAACTATCTGAGGCCAGCAGGGGAAAGGGCAGGGGACTCATTCTCTCAGCCCACCGAAGATCATGATTACAGATACTCTGCACCCGAGTCTGGAGGGCTCCCCAGCTCCCTTGGGCCAAACCCTGCATAAGCAGGGGCTTGTACAGAGCCTCTCACCAAACTTACTGGAAAATGTGGGTTTTGGGGCCTCTTCATAGGGAGGAGGGTCAGGGAGGCTCCAGGATCCCTGTGTAGGAGGCAAGAGTGCTGAGACCCTCAATGAGAGGCAGTCTCAGGACCCACAAGCTGCATGGCTAGAGGATCTGGGAAGTCATTGATGAAAGCATCGTTTCATATGGGAAGGTCTGTGGACAGTAAAGATGACATCCCACACCCCTCTAGAAAAGAATAGTGCTAGTTCATATGCTAGCTCAGTAATAATCAGCCAAAAGTGAATGAATGAGCTTCTACTATGTAGATATTCTGAGGGTGTTGGGGAAAATGTGATGCTTTATAAAGAAACGAAGCAGAGAAGATAGGCTGGTAGGGCTTGTGAGCTCTGACTTTGATCTTTGAAACTCAGCTGCCACTTTCTAGGTCTGTAACTTCGGGCAAGTTAACCTTTCTGAACCTCAATTCCCACATAGTAAAATAAAAGAAATTAGAGTTCTACTGCTGAAGTTGTGGGAGGGTAAAGCAAACGACTCCGTTATATGCTAGGCACAGAGGCACTTAATCAACAGTAGTGAGAGCAATTACCTAGAAACTGCCCCCATACCTGGCACTGGGGAGCAAACCCAGGGCCTTGGGCATGCTAGGCAAGAGTCTACCATAAAGCTATATCCCCAGGACTTTTTCCAGTTAGTTCTAGGAAACTATGTTTTTTGTGAAGAATTCTAAGCATTCCATGCACTAACCTTTTCACCTGGGAACACCCTGTGAGGGTGATGCTACTGTTATTCCATGACAGATAAGAAAATGGGTTTTAGTGACTGGCCAGAGTCACACAAGTAGCAGGACCATTTAAATCCAGACACCCTAGCTTCAGAATCTGCTTTAACCTTTGGTAAAGACCAGTTGTTGACATTTCTGTTACAATAATACAGTACTGTAGACTTTTAGAGAAAAAATAACTTGCCAAGGAATGGGGGCTTTCTGAGATTGAGATGTTCCTGGTGACTGCAGGGAGAAATAGTACTCAGCCTGGGAGCCATAACTGGCTGGCAGGTGAACAATTGGAGATACTTCTTTGGGGCTCCAAGTAGCCTTCTATTTATTTATTCATTTAATAATTAATTATATGGGAAGGGTGTTATATATATATATATGTTCATTTGGGTATGTGCATCTGTGCATGTATGGGTGCACATATGTGGCGTACATGTTTATGTGGAGGCCAAAGGTCGACATCAGATGTCTTCTTTGATTGCTTTCTATCTTATTTTTTGGGACAGGGTCAGTCTCTCATTGAATTTGAAGTCTGTCAATTCTAATTGACTGACCAGTGAGCTCTAGGGATTCACCTGTCTTTGCCCCCTCCCAGTGCTGGGGTTATAGATGCACCTGCCATGCCTGGCCTTTATGTGGGTGATGGGGATCCAAACTCAGGTCCTCATGCTTGTGGAGGAGCCATTTTCCTAGCCCCCTTCCCACCCCATATAGCTTTAGAGCAGTTTATGGACTGCAGACTTGTAGGGCTTTAGCCTGGTGAGGGAAGCAGGTGAGCAAGGCCGGCTGCCTGGTCCTCTGACTGGGAGTGGGGCATTGAAAAGCCATACCTTGTATAGTCCAGCATCATCCCAGCCTCATCTTCAATGCTGGAGGCTATGGAGGAATCTGAAGTGTTTGGGGGTGGGGATGGGCAAGTGTCTCAAAAGTGACTAAGTTCCTGACAGTTACCACCTCTAGCTTAAGAGCTATGGGGTTAAAATGTTCCTGGGGTTGCTGGAGCTATTCACTGCTGGGGGTGATTGCTGGAAAGCTGGCCGAAATGACAGGGACATTTAGCATAGAGCCATTGAGGGGATAGATGCTGGGACAGGCCACTTCCTGAGCCATTCTGCTGTGGCCCATCATCCTTTAAAGTCCTCTACAGGGAGAACAGAGATGAGTCCCCACAGGCTCAGACCCAGTGGGCAGCATCTGTGAAAAACAGGCTAGTCCCTATGGGCTTGAGGACCTTCCAACCACTTTCAGGCTGTGGAGCATGAGTGGATGTAAACTTCAAACCAGCTCAGACCTCTGGTTGCTTCAGGTGGGAGCAGAGAGGGTGACTGTCCTGGGAGATCATTCTCACTTATTGTCAGTGTGGTTCTAACTTGGTGGCAGAGCCTGCTGAATGACAGATCTCTAGTCTGGGGATATGTTGGCTTGAGGGAATTTCAGTGGGTTCTTCCCTAGGGCTGCTGGGTCACATGACTCCCAGTTACTGTTTCATATGCCTCCATGTAAAGTGGTACCTCTACCACCCCTGCACAGTCCCCTTCTGGCTGGGGACTGCCACTGCACATACAGGCGATGCCCTTGCCTAGCTCTATTTTAAGCATCCTCCCTGTGTGGACTCTTCCTGCAGGGACCACACACCATAGATGTGGTTATCTTGGTAGGCTCTTTGTCCAGAGAATCAAGGCCAGTGACCTTCCTTGGGGTCAGCCCATGGTCCTGCTAAGTTGATGTGAGTCATTTCATGTGATGGACCAGCCCAGACCAGGGCAGTTCAGTCCGACAGGAACAGGGTCGTCGAGAGGGTGGACAAGGAGTCGGCGAGTGACAAACAGACAC